CGACAAAGCCGAAGCTCACTCCTCGACAGGCTCGCTGGTGGCGCGACCTATCCGAGTTTAGTTTCACCATTGAGCACATCAAGGGTGAGACTAATCGGGTCGCAGATGCCCTATCCCGGCGCCCTGACCACGATCAGGAGCACATCCAGCTCTTTTCCATCTCGGTCAGCACCGTCCACCACTCGGTGATCGACGAGTTTCGCACTCAGTACCGCCACTGCCCCGACTATCGCGACATCCACGCGACCCTTCAGAGTGGCAAGACCGTCTCGAACAACTCTCTCGGGGACAACGGTCTTGTGTACTGGCACGGTTCACAGGGCACCTGAGAGCCCCGTATTTGTGTTCCTTCCACTGGAGAACTACGTGTCCGAGCAGTAGAAGAGTTCCATGACCAGGCAGCTGCCGGTCATATGGGCTTCCACAAGACGTTGGCTCGTGTGAGCCGCCTGTACGTCTGGCCGAAGAGCAAGGACTTTGTGAAGGACTACGTCGCAGAGTGTCCCACCTGTCAAGAGGTGAACAGTGCGAACCACCTACCTTATGGTTTGCTCCAGCCTCTTCCTATCCCTGAGGGTCGTTGGCAGTCCATCTTGATGGACTTTATCGGTCCTCTTCGACCTCCACCCCCCCGCGGTCATGATGCTATCCTGGTCGTCGTCGACCGCTTCACGAAGCGTGCACGCTTTGTTCCGTGCCGCTATGCCATCAGTGCACGTGAGGTCACCGACATCGTATTTGACCGAGTCGTGCGTGACCACGGCTTACCTCTGAGCATCATATCTGACCGTGACCCGCGCTTTACCAGCCGATTCTGGCGACGGCTCCACGAGGTGTATGACACTCAGCTCCACTTCTCCTCGTCTTACCATCCTCAGACTGATGGTCAGACCAAGATCACGAACAGGACTCTCGGGGATATTCTCCGAAAGATTGTTCGTGACGACCAGCAGTGGGATCTCCATCCTGCCCACGCGGAGATAGCCTACAACCACGCCGTCTCGCCAGCCACGGGGATGTCGCCTTACTATTGCGACCTCGGCTATCACCCGCGTGTTCCCGCGGACTTCCTTCGACCGTCCCAGATGCACCCCGATACGAGTTGTCTCGCGCTGGATGATTGGGTTGCACACATGACGTCGATTATGAAGACCGCACATGAGCACATAGCCGCTTCCCAGACTCGCATGGCAGCACGTGCGAACCGATCGAGGATGGATCACCCATTCAAGGTCGGTGATGATGTGCTTATCGACTCCCGCCTCTTACAGCTCGAAGCGGACACGCTTCGCAAGTTTCGCCTTCGCTTCTTTGGCCCATGCCGCATCCTCCAGGCCATCGGTTCTGATACGGCATCTAGCCCGGTCAGCTTTCGTGTGAAGCTGCCCGACTACCCACGTCAGGCTCATGTGCATGATGTCTACCACGTCTCGTTACTGCGTCCTTACCGCACACCGTCTGAGCGTTTCGCTGGACGACCATACGAGCGCCCTCTACCCATCATGGTGGACGGCCACGAGGAGTTCCTCGTTTCAGACATCATTGGTCGCCGAGTCACCGACGACAACCCTCCCCACGTCGAGTATCTCGTACGTTGGAAGGGTTACCCTGATGAGGAGGCTACCTGGGAGCCCCTCGAACACTTGCAGCACGTACGCATGTTGGTGCGTGCCTATGACCGTGCTCGTCGTGCTGGGTTCACTGCTCCTCCTCAGCCCACTGACCCTCCTCCTTCTCCTCCAGCTGAGGAGACCGCTGAAGTCGAGACTGCTCCATCTGAGGCAGACCTTTCAGCAGCAGCCGGATGCCTCTGAGCGTCCACAGCGCACTCGTCGTCGTCCTGCTCGATAGGACGATTGACTCTGACTTACCTTCCCACGTCTTTGACTTCTCAGTACTCCATCCACATCAGTCTTGCTACTTTAGCTCGTCGACGCGGCGGCTCTTTCTCGACGGCATTCCGGACTTCTCCTCGTGGACGTCATCGGCGGCTTCATGGACTTCATCACGATCAGCTCTGCCTACTTCAGACGTCGCCACTCTCTTACCACTCTACCCTGTACAGTACCCTGMTTGTSTCGCATGATGGTCTCCCTTTAGCCGGGTTCCTCTGAGTTGGGCTCTCCCTTGGTATACGCATAGGCATCGGGACCGTAGCGTGACCCTGGCTTCCCATCTTACGGATCTAGCTCCGACTTCCCTCACTTTAGGAGTCATTTGCATGATTCCCTTACCCATCATTTTTCTACCCTTCGCTGGCCCTCACGCCCTAGTTAGGCAGCCCCGCATGCTTCATCTAGGTGCGCCCAGTATACCAGGCTCCCTTGTTCCCTTGCATGGTCGACCCTCCATAACGGTCACCCCTTAGTCGAGCATTACCCGCCCTGATGGTCTATCTGTTAGGGTCATTGGTTCTGTTCGCTCCCAGTTTCCTACCCTCATTGAGCCTGATGACATGTGTTTTCCCCTGTCACTATGTGTGGATGCCCTTAGGAGTTTTCGACCTCTAGGCTGCATTCGCCACCCTCAGAGACCATCCCACCCTTTGGTGTGCGACACACTTCTCATGTGACATATGGCTGTCTTGTTGATTGCTTTGTTGCTCTCAGACAGAGGCTACTGCCTCCGACATTTCTAGGATTTAGTTGTTCTGCTTTTGCCGTTATTAGGACTTATAAACTAGTTAGTTGTTACCAGACTGAGGCTAGTGCCTCCAACATTCTAGGATCTAGTTGTCACTACTTTTTGCTTTCCTAGGACATGTATGTTAGTTAGTTGCTCCTACTTTCACTTAGGCTGTTAGCTGTGACATTGCTGTTTCGTGACATTTTATATCCTAGGTTGCATCGCATGGACTCAGCATGGAGCTTGCTCCGCATCCTAGACTACTCAGGTTTTCTTTTCTTTGGTAGAGTTCTGCTTCTTGGCGGAAGCATGTTTGTATCTAGGCGATCCATCACAGGCCGAGGATCGTGTAGCGGACCTCGGGTTGACCTGTGAGACCAGCCCCTTGGCCTGTTCTCACAGGCCTGTGTTATATTCGGGGTAGGCCAGTCCAGGCCGGTACCTCTGTCGGTACCAGCCAGTCCAGTCCAGTCCCGTCAGTCCGCTGGGGTATACCCCAGCCATTTTCTGTTTTGAGTCTCATTCCTCACTTGCACATTTTGGAGTATGTGCGTTGGAGTCTTGTGTGGGGAGCTGCGTTGTGCCATCTTGCTCCCCCTTCTTCCTCCATCTCCATCTCTGTCACTAGCGGAGCACCACACCTGGTGGGTCCGCTACAATATGGGACGCTGGGCCCGGTTCCCAGCACGTGTTGCTCCCCATGAATAGACTGGAGCATAAAACAAAACAAAAAAAAGATCGACGGGAAATGAAAAAAGGAAGAAAAGAAATTCATGTGCGTGGGACCTAGCCACTGATGCCCAAATGTGCACTTACAGCCTCGCACACAATCCTTTGGTCAACGACAGGTCAATAATGTGGAGCCTGTTAGGTCTACGAATATAAGGGGTCCAGATACCCCTTAGCGAAGAATGCTCTTGAATTCAGATCTGGTTAAATCTACGAATATACATGGGTGTAGGTACCCCCATGCGGAAAACCTAACTGCCAGCCTGTTTTGACAACTGATGGACACCACTGCTCCCATGTGGAACAAGACAGGCACCCCTGACTAATTTGAAAAGGTGGGGGGAGGGGGGTTTCATTGGGAGCCATTAATTCTTGCCCCATTGGTTCCGATGGACTCCAGCCATTTGGTTTGGTGTCATTTTGTCCCATCGACTCCTTTCCAGCACACTGCTGGTTTCCTCCCACACCAGTGGAAGGTCTTCGATGATACTCTGCCTTGGGCAGTGGGCCCAATATGAAAAGATACGGTGTATTGCCTCTTTTTTTTTTTTTTTTTTTTTTTTTTTTTTTTTTTTTATTACCTCCAAAACGCTGTGTGCCAAAACAAAAATGAACCAGCTTTGGTGCCCTTATTCTTTTTAAAGTTTTGCCTGGCTGCACCAGCCATTGTGTTCCAGTAGCCCCGAGCCCCCAAAACATGTGGGATATGTTTGTAGAGGTACAAGATTTGCCTGGGGCATTTAGTGGAGGGTCGGAGGCTAACATGAAGGGGAAAAAAAAGACCTCCCTTGCAATATTTCTGCAGCACCCTGTCTTCTTTCATTCCTCCTAAGCCTCTTTTTTTTGCAAATGCCATTTTTTTGTATTTATTTTTTTGAGCTAAGCTATATTTTTCTCTCCATTTGAACCTCTCACTACCTACCTACCACTACTCCTAAGCCTATTCAGGAGACCCCTGCAAGCATAGCTACCTCTCACAATCAAGGGGATCCATGTTGCCCCCCCCCCTAATTGACGGTGGTCAGGGAGTAGGGTGGGGACGCCGTTGAGAGGGGCCGGCTAACACAAAGGCGGAGCATTTTGCCAGTAGCTGCGCCTCCCCTCGACTTTCCCTATCCTTATCGAGTAACAGCAGTGCCTATTGCCAGCACTCACACAGCACACGTTACCCCACACACATGCGCACACACACACAAGTGATGGCCAACGACACTACCAATACCTGCGTACATACATACAACTATAATATCAGGCTGGAGGGGTCTAGTCACTGGGTGGGGTCTAGTATCTGCAGTAGGTTCAGGTAGGTTGGATAGGGTACCATTGGGTGTGGTTTCTACTGACATTCGGATAGAACCGTCTGGTGGCTATATATAAGGCTTAGACCATGGAAACTGGCCGGACGTCTGGACCGGAATCCAGACGGTCCAGTTGTCTGGGTATGGGTCCGGTGTCTGGTCCGGTAGGTCCGGATTGGGCCCAATTTTGAAAAATTCGATTTTTTTTGGGGGGGGGGCTAGGACGTTTTTCAGGGCCTAAGCCGCCCCCAAAAAATGCCCCCAGTATTTTTTGGCCGTTTCAGGGCCTTTTTTTTAAGTCCGGGGTGTTGTAGAGGCTAATTACCAGGCACACACAGGGATCAGCGGAAGCACTGAGCCTTGGCCGTCCTAAGATCACGAGGTCACCTCCCAACCCAACCGCTCATCAATACTCCCAGCGTATCCCCTACCCTACTATCCTACCTCAGTGTAACCCACTCAGGATCATCACCCAACCAGCAGGTGGGTGACTTGGACCAGACAGCATGACAGGTACCAAGGCTAGCTATTACCCCAGTCCCAGTGGAAGCGGAATCGGACAGGCCACGCTGTACGGGAACTTCGGACGTCAAGTTATACTATATTCTACCAACCTCGTGGCCTTTATGCAAGAGACTATAGACCCCTGGGTTTATCTTCGGGGACAGGCTAACTAGCAGTCAGTACCCCAGCCAGACAGTCTACTGTCCTTCCCCCAGCTTACCCAAGGCCAGGCGGAACTTAGACTGACAGTACTACCGTCCGTCCCCTAGCTTGCCCCTATCTTGGCTAGGTGGAACTCAGACCCGCTGGGGTAACTACCGTAATCTACACCCTAGGGACTAAGTCTTTCTAACCCCTCCCTCAGTCAACTGTAGACATATGCAAGCCCGTAGGCTGTATGTATGTGTTCGGAAACTGTGGATGTATGTTTTTAGCCCGTAGGCTACGTATGATATGTGTGTGTATATCCGGACACCAGTTGTATACCCGAAGGCAGTATGTATGTATAACGGGCCCAACCGGACAAACCCCCCCAAAGTCTGTAACCAAGCTTGAACCCGTAACCTGTGAGATATATCTGCAAGACTCAACCGTATGAACATCAATCGGAGATGGCACGTATGTGTGGTATATCAGACTGGGGAGGACAATCGAACAGCCAAGACCAATACCCCAAGCAAGCCCTGCAGAACCCAGAACCGGCATACAACACCCGGGACTTGATCCCCTGACCAATACAGGCAGGGTCTGTAATCATAACCATGTAGTGGTCAGAGGATAGTGTGTCCAGCCGTGCGTCAATCTAACGCCCTGCCGGTGTCCATGCGCAAGGCTGCGGATTTGAACCCGCAACCTTATACCACAATGCGCATTTCCAACCTGTGCTCTAACCACTGACCTACATCAACTGGACAAGCCGTTTCGGGGCCTACCGTACGCCGCCAGACGCTTCCAACAGCTCCCTCTGCTGTTGTACTACGCTGGTAGTTCATCGGATGAGGATGAGTCTGATTCCAAAAATGAAGCGCTGGCTGCAAAGCGCCACAGAACATCAAGCTAGAGAGAGAGAGAGAGAGATGATTTTGGTCAGATCTGAGATCCCGTCTTAGATCTGGCTCTGACCAGATCTCAGATCTGTTCTTAGTACTTCTTATGCATATCTGAATAACTTAACAGTTTAAATTTTCAATTTTCATATGAATATGAATTAGAAAGTCTAACTTCAAAGTTCAAAGTTCTGTTTTTTTTCTGATTTTCATACTCTTTTCTGAAGTGACTTGGGATTGGTCTGTTGACAACTGGTTTCAAGTGTTGTGTGAGCCTTTGTGAATGTCTGTGACAGTTTTTTTTTTTTTTTTTTTT